GGGGCTGCGGAGATGTGATTGGAGGAGGGGGGCTGCGGAGATATGATTGGAGAAGAGGGGGCTGCGGAGATGTGATTGGAGAAGGGGGTCTTTAGATATGTGATTGGAGAAGGAGGGGCTGCGGAGATGTGATTGGAGAAGGGGGGGATGCGGAGATGTGATTGGAGAAGGAGGGGCGGCTGCAGAGATGGGAAGGGACCATGATTTGAGAGGGCTGGGAAAGGTGATGGGAGGTGCAGGAAATATGTGATGGAAGGGGTGCTGGAGTTGGGGGAGAGGTGCAGGGGCGACCGTGGTGATGGGAGAGTCCAGGGTGCATATGAAGATAGTGGAAAGAACAGAGGGCACGAGAGAGATGGGGGAGAAAACAGGCATATCTCCTAAACCTACAGGGGTAATTTATAGGTTTAAGGCCTGGTTCACACCTGTACGTTTTGTAGCACGTTAAACGCTCTATGAACGCTCTACAAAACGCTCAAACATGAAAATCCCATTGTTTTCTATGGGTATGGTTCACACCTTGCCGTATTTCAGCCCGTCTAAACACGCTACAAAACGGCCTACGCCTGAAAAGGTAGCTTCTGAGCTTTATGAGCTTATTTGCGGCGTTTTTGTCGCGCGTTTCCATTGGGATACAGCCAAGTAGCCCTCGGAAACGCGTGTTTCCGAGCTAAAAAAGCTTAACTCTTTCATTAAAGGGTGCCTCAATGCTGAGGAATCCATTAATGAATGGTAACCGCTGATTCTCAGCGGTTACCAGCCTTACAGGACCCCGAATAGCTGATCACGTACAGTGTATGTGAGCGGTCATTTGGGCACTTCGTGGAGGGACGTCTCCCATCACAAAGGGGTTAAAATGGCTACCACAGCGCCAGTTGGAACACTTTTTGTTTGATTACATGCTTGTAATCAAATATGTGATGGGGGGGGGGGCTCCCTGATGGCCTTTCTCAGAGCTGCGAGTAACAATGTCAAGATCCCAAAAACTAGGGTACCATTTTTTACACACTAAATACAAGGGTTTTTTTTGCCTTCCTCTGGATCAACAGTGTGTAGCTGTGGGCATAGTGTTCTGTTTAGGCTGTTCTTCTTCTTCTTTTTCTCCGTATCTCTATAGGTTGAACTCGATGGACTTGCGTCTTTTTTCAACCTGACTAACTATGTACTAATAGTTTTCTTCAAGTACTCGCCGATACCAATTACCAATACCCTTATTTTAGTGTCATGTGACAGTTTTTCTAAAACAATACAGACTAATGATTTTAAGGCAGTGGTGAAGTGCCGGGGCCCTGTGCCATCTGCAAAAGCTGGACCCAGGATTCTCCGCCACTGACTACAAGCTGTAGAGGGACTACAAATCTCAGCAATACATTATACAACAATGCAGAATACCACCAGCAATAGAAGACTACAAATCCCAGCTATACATTATACAGTAAATCAGATTTATACCATCAGCTAGAGATGACTACAAATCCCAGCGACACAGTATACAGCAATGCCGAATGGCAACTGGCTATAGAGTACTACAAATCCTAGCAATGCATTATACATCAATGCAGAATAATATGAAGCTTCATACTCTGTGCTGCTTCGGGGTGCCAGCCTGACGTCTCCAGCAGAGGATCTCAGGTAGCTGTGTGTGGTCTCAGGAGGACTGGGCAGGGTCTTAAAGGGCTGTCTGGGGTCTCAGGAGGCTGTGTGGGGTCTCAGGTGGCTGTGCAGGTTCTATGGTGGGCTGTGTGGGCTCTCAGTTGGGCTGTGCAGGTTCTATGAACTCGTGAAAATGCCCAGTATCGGCACCAATCCCATATTGGTGCATCCCTACCAAAGACTCCTTGTACATCTGAAGCCTTCTCTACACTGTAGACTTTACAGCGGATTAGAGTTGTCATCAACTGCAACCACTCCAACCCATAATGATACAGTACTGTATTATCTTCACACGTTTTATGTTTAATTTGCCTCAACAACCTATTGGGGACCCCTTCCACCCCCAGGACACATAGTAGCTACCTGGGTTGCTGTGGCTATAGTTATGCCACTGAATCAAACAAATTACTTATTGGGCCTGAAAAATCTATCCCCAGTTTTTTCTGTGGATAAAAAGGGAATAACAAAAACCTACATTGTATACAGTGCATGAAAGTTTGCATACTGGTTGTTCCCAAGGGACAACTGAATATATAGATAGAATATGAGCTGTGTGCACAAGACTGCCTGCTGTATTGTAAACACTGGTCTATTATTTTCAAGGCAGACTTGTAATTTCATGGGGAACAACAGGAGAATGTGCCTAGATTCAACTGCAGTCACTGACTTGTCCGTGCTATAGGTGGGAGTGATAAAATCTAGATGCATCAGACGCACAGGGTGATTTCAAAGTATCATAAAGAAGGGGATCGTAGACTAAAATAATTTGCAGGGTGGTGAATATTGACTCAGAGGACTGAGTGGGATTGAACACAACAGATCACCACAGGAAATAATTGATGCATTTATGATAAAGTGAATAATTGTCAATGTGAAAACAGTACAGAGCAGTAAATGCAATCATCAAATCAATAAATACTGTTAAGGTTACTGAGGCCTGAATTTCCGATTTAAGAACGGGAAATTCAGATGTTAGTGAACAGCTGTGAATGTGATTCCCAAATCTGGCCAGTAAATTTGCCTTATAAATGCACTAAAACTTTTGATGGCACAAAAGGAATGAATAAGCTTTTGGCTACGTAATACATATGCCCTTTTATGAGTGGGCTCCATAGCACATTCATTAGTTGGCCCCATATAAAAGTTCTTACAGCGAAATTAAGGTTTGTTCTCACAATTGCCAGCAGGTAGGATTTTATTGCTCTGAGAGGCTCTGTACGTCTCTTTTGCCATAAAACCTTCCATAAAACCTTCTGCCCCACCTGCTAGCAGTTCTCTTTTTTATTGTACACTGAGCTCTGGTGCAAGATTTTTTTTTTGCCCCCCCAAAAAAAACCCACAAACACAGCGCTCTCCTCCAGCAACGCTCGACCGGCTGTCACACTTTCTCTCCACCCCGCTGGGACACAGAGCAGCGCCCAGCAGGGAGGAAAGAAAGCAGGGTTGGGTTGCTGTATCGGCAGAAAAATTGCACTTTCGGCATTTAGCCGGTCGATATGTTTTGGCGGCCAATATATCGGTGCATCCCTAATATTTACAGCAATGCAGAATGGCTACATGAACATGAACTACACATCCCAGCAATAATTTATATTACAATAGCATTTCTGTATAAAGTACTGCTGAGATTTGTAGCACTCTACAGAGGGTGCCATTCTGCATTGCTTCAACAGTACTGTATACAACATTAGGCTACAAATAATAATTATTTTAATGATTTATTTACCCTTACCTCTTCTGTCTTCAGTTGTTCCTGTGTGTGTTCTGTTTGCTGGGTCCTCACTCCCAGAGGCGGCTCTAGACTTTGTGAGGCCTAAGGCGAAACTTAACCATGAGGCCCCATCTTACATATGCACTGTGGCAGTGTAAGCCAATGCCACGGTGTAAGATGGCGACCCAGGACTCTCAGCCAGAGGGGCTGAGAGGGTCCAGAATGTGAAACACGTTATAAGGAAGAACCTGGCTTTTCAGGTCCGTCCAGGTTTTCCTATTTGTAGCTGGGATCTGGAGCTCTGGAGATTTCGTAGAGCTCTGGGTGGGATGAGATCTCCAGTTCTGGGGCCAGGTGTTGCCATTGACCAGCCTGGGCTAATCAGGTGGCTGAGAGCAGCCTTATCAGGAAGCCAGCCCAGTGCTCAGGAGAGTGTTGGAGTTGTGTGTGTGTGCAGGGAGCACACAGACAAACTCGGGTGCGTGCTGGACGCACACGGAACAGCCAGGGGTGGCTGGGAGAGGTCAGGAAGGTCGGTGACCCCAGGGACCTGTGGTACAGACTGCTAAGAGAGCAGAATGAGGGCTCACGAGGGGTGAGCAAGCGTGAGTGTCTTGAAGCTGTGGAAAGCTACCGAGCGAAGCTAAAAGACTGTCTTATGTTGCTGTTTCAAGCTATTTTGTGTTTGCCCTTTCAATAAACTGTGTTTTCCTTGACTTACCTGGATTACAGTGGAGTGTCCTTGTTACAGCACGTATACATACACTCATATGTACACTCATATGTACACACATACATACATACATACATACAAAAATGCCAAGTAATTTACTCATGCACGCACACACTCATATACCCCGTTATTTATAGTACAGGTTTAAGAAGTCAGAACAACTCTGGAGATCTTAAAGGAGAACTAGGAGGTAAGTGCTTTTCACTCATCCTCATAGTTCTAGCTGACCTGTGACAATGAGACTGTCACAGGTCGGCTCAGTAGATCGAGAGGTGAGCGAACACATACCGGCGTTGGCTCACTTCTCGATCCTGTCACAGCTCCCTGCCGTGACAGGGGATGGGCTGGATCTGATCCTCTGCTGACTGGCAGAACGGACGGGGAACGGACGGGGGCGGGTACAGCTGGCTCTGCCTCTAGATAGGCAGAGCCAGCTGTCACTCACGCAGCTGGGCGGATCCAGACATAATTGTCGGGATCCGTTTCAGCTGCGGCGTCTCAATATACCGCGAGCTTAGGGTGATGGGAGGACGCTTGTTTGTGTTACCCTTAGGAGAACTATGGGGAAAAGCCCTAACCCCATAGTTCTCCTTTAAAAATAGCAGTAGATTTTCCTAAATATTAGGATGTATGTTAAAACATTTTAGATAATTATGACACTTAAATAAATGGGGACAGGTTAATTTTTATTTTCTATACATTGAAGACACATCTCTGACAGTGAGAGCAGAGCCGCATTTGCTGCTCTCATTGACAGCTGGTATACCGATGTATACCAGCTTTTTTCCCCCTAAACTTTCAGCAATAGAAAGATTTCGATACATGTATTTATTGCTGATACAATGTTTTCTGCAGGCTTTCTGATAGTTGTTGGAACGATCAAAAAACCTTTAGTCACATCTGATCCTGAATTGCTGCAGGATCAGTGTCACTAAGATTATTATTGGCTGTTCTTAGGTTTGAAGCAGCCTAATAATAACCAAAAATGTATTAAATTATCACGCAGTAATAGTGAGATTAATTCACAATGACTGCTTGCTATAATTAAATAAATAAAATAAATATGTAAAAAATGTTTTAAACAGTGAAAAGTGTAAAAATAAAATAAAGTGTAAAAAAATAAAGTTTAAAAAAATAAAAAACACATTACAGTATTGGTTTATGTTAAAAAAATCTGAGGGTTTAATGTCACTTTAACTCATTACAGTGAAAATCTGCAACTGAGCAGCAGATTTTTTTTTCACCCTAAGGCGTTAATTTATTTTATTCAATCCCCTCATGACAGTGATGTTCAAAGTATGTTGCTGTCACTAAGTGTGACACTTATGACAGTGACATTGTATGCCAGGTGACCACTTTTAGCTTTAGCATTTAGAGAAGAAAGATTTAAAATGTTATGTTTTAGTTTTAGGCCGAGAAGTACAGAAATATTTCTAAAATCCTAGGAATGTGAGTTTTTTCCAAATAAATGAATGTATTTATTGAATTTTTTTTTTTAGCTGTGCTGTTTTTGTAGAAAATACTACAAATCAAAACTGGGGAAAAAGTGTTTTTTGTTACGTTTTATTCCCTCTTTTTTATATTTTATTTGTCCTAAGTGAGGTGTTAGGTACACATATGTGATACAATTATATAGCCCTATCTGTCCTCTAAAAAACAATATATAATATGTGTGGTCGCAGTCATTTACGAACAAAAACTAAAAACAAGCTCAGTCACGAAGGGGTTAAAACAGTTTTGGGTTTTTGCAGGTGCGTACAGGAGTGTCCATATAGGGATGAATGGCTGAATCTGTAAGTTCCTTGATATCCAACCCTGCTGAAAAACAGTCTGTACGAAATTCTCATTGAAGAGCTAAAAACAAAGTTCAGCTGACCTTGTGAAGTACTTTTTAGCAATTTTAGGGATAAAATATTGCTCGCAAACATCAGTAGTTATGTGCTTATCAAATCCTCAAAATGGATGCACAACAGATCCTCTGATCTCCTTCCACTATGATAATATCATACACAGGACTACATCTATTTGGATAGCCGCAGAGCCGGCGTTACTGTATGGCAGGACAAGCGGCGAGGGCACTGCTTGGGGAGGGCGGCAAAATCATATCATTTGCAGAGAAACACCCTGAAGTAAATACTGTACATGCATGCAATAGTCCGGCCGGTGTAATGTTCACCCCGCCCTGCCTCTTGTTCTGTGCTTTGCCGCGCTGACTTTGAAGTTGCTGAGGGTGCTGTGTGGCCGTAGCTGTCATGTGCCGTCTGTAGAGCTGAGCACCTCCATAGTATGTTCCCCTGCCGCTATGTTAGTACAGTAGAACCTTCCAGACCTGGATTCTTACTCATCCTGCATAGGACTGTGAGGGATTATTATGCATGGAACAAATACTAGAGATTAAATTAAGTTTTTCCAGTACAGTGTAGAAGATATCATTAGTAGCTCACTGACTCATTGTGCGAAAAACTGTTGACTGGAATCCCTCCTAAAATTACAATACAGTTCTGTAGACTGAATTGCCATCTATATCAAATACAATAATAGTATGTACAAAAATGTGTTATTGTGCTGTCAACTTTCTGGGTTGAAGACCTCCAGTTGTGGAAAAACTAGAAATGAGTGTAATACAAACAAAATGTGTGTGTACTTTCTAGATGCTGCATTGTAACATATCATACATGTATGTACAGTATGAACTATACAACCAAATAAAGCATAAATAAACGTACTATTAAACACTTATACGCTATCAAACACAATTTACATATCTCACTGCCACCACAAATGATGAATTTGTCTTGCACGCAGTACAATCACCCGCACTGCAATGCATGCTACTGCAATATCCTGCGTTCCAGTCAGATGCCATTGCATACACTAATTCCAATTGCACCACATAGCCCTCCTGGGACCCCACACAGCCCACCCGAGACCCCGTACAGCCCTCCTGAGACCCTCTGCTGGAGACATCAGACCAGCACCGAACAACACAGAGTATGTAGCTTCATATTATTCTGCATTGCAATATAATGTATTGCTAGGATTCTTAGTCCTCTATACCTTGGAGTCAGTGGCAGAATTACGAGGATCACATCGGTTGCAGCGGTGACTGGCCTTGGTGCTCCACCACTACAAGTGCCGTGACGTCACGGCACTTGTATTCCTCAAACTACCAGTCCCCCCGACGGCAGGTGGGACATGTAGTTCCTACCTAGCGAGGAAGTGCCTCCAGGTTTTTGTGTAGACTGAGCAATATGGTC